ATTACAGTAGAACACGTTGTGTTGCTTTACACTGTGTTACTGTATGTTGTACCATGTTATGTCACTGCTAAGGGCCTGTCAGGCCTAGGTGTTGGGCTAAGGGTTTTTGGAGTCTGAGGTTCAGGGTTGCGAACTCCTGAAGCTTCGGAGTTTAGGGTCGAGGCTTTCAGATTCAGGGCTTCTGGTCTAGAGCAACTGGTTGGGCATTTCAGGAGCGGAGCTCCAGGAAAGGAAAGTTTGAGCACGGAGCAACCTCCATCACGATTATCGTCCTGCTGTCGCATAATAGCGTCTTCGGCAACGCCCTGAGGGGGATTTGCATGTTTGTTTGGGGTGACTGATGGATCTTCACTAGCTTGGTGGCTCGACCACCTCATTTGTCCATCTTGGGTCCAGAACCTTTGAGCCCCATTTTCCCCCTCGAGCGGGATCAGAGCTGCGCGGAACTTTGGGCTTGGTACGAAGAATCTTAGCACTCTGGGGACCACCAAGGGTACAGGGGTGGAGAGGGTCGATACGAAGGCTTCGCATAATCAGGGCTTCCATGTGCAGGGGTTCTTCTATCAAAGTCTACATTAATAGGATGTTCTGAACCTCCTTTGTGAATGTGTGTATGTATGTATATATATATATATGTGCATAGAGGGCTTGAAAGAAGCCTCATGTCTGCAATCGTTTCACTTGGCTTCTTTTCCCGTCCGGTCCGGAGCACTTGGCTTCCTGACCGGCAGGGGCTTCGGTTCATCTCAGATGCACAGTGAGAGATCCCCACGCTTGGCGTGAAAAGCGGTGCAAGGTGGGCTTTCTGGCTTGGTCGTGGCAGTAGGTTCTTGAGAGCCTTGTTTTATGCGGAGGCATATGCATAGACACATACAGACGCATGCTCGTACACATGCACAGAAACCTGCAAGGACACATCCATCCGTCCATGCATCCCTCCTTCTATTCATCCAGCCATTCATCCCTGTGTGTAGATAGATAGATAGATAGATAGATAGATATACACACATATGCTTATACTTATACACACACACGCGCGACATACATGCACCTGCACAGAAACTTGCGCATGCATGCAGAAACACGTCCATCCTTTCACCCACACACATATACATGTGCATACACATATAGAAATACTTATACGCGCACTTGGGCGTAGGTACATATCCAAGCACACAATATGCACATTCATATGGCATGCATGTGCGTGTGCATACAGGTTTGCATGGGCATGCACATGTACACTTTGTAAGTATATGCAGATCTACACGTATACATGTCTACATCTGTCCGTATAATTGCCCGGAAATACTCTGCGGATCCGTACTACATCGTTCCTTTTCCAACGTGCGAGCCTCCAAGCGCACACCCGGAGTTCCATTTATGGCTAGGCTTCGGGCTGTGGGGTTGGATTGTCGACCCAAAAGCAGGAGAGCAAGCACCAACCTTCCCCAGAAAGGAAGTAAGGAAGTCCCTATGAAGCCATCACCAGTCCCGTTCTTGTTGCATTTGGTTTCATCGAAGTGAATCGCGATGCTGTTGATCTGCCGGTTGGAGCTGGAGCGAAGCTGACACGGGTAGTGGGGACAAGCATGCTGATGATTAGTTCTGCTGGTTTTTAAGCTGTTCTTAATATTAATATGTGTTGTTTGCACTCGGCATTTCTGAGGCAGACGAGCTTCGTGTGGCCCTGAAGTGGCAGGGCTTCGCTGTGGATGCTGGGGCGGATGCCTCAAAGGGCTTTGCGCGTCAGAATTCTGACTAAGCAGAACATGAGCTTAAGCCTTAAGAGGTGCAATACGCGGTTCGAAGGTTCTTAAGTTTGGAAAATTGGGTGAGTCTTCCTCACCTGTATAGCAAAATTGGCGGACGATAAATGTTGGTAGGACATTACCCTTAACATGCGGCAACTTGTTGCTCCATGAGAACTAACCGGACAGGTGAACAACACCCAGATCACTGCTGCCTGTGCAACGTCAGCATGCCATCCAGATCTTCGCTATCTTTCTCATGCCGATCATCACATACTCTCGATGGTACAGTCACGGCATGGCAAAACATAAGGGTTGTTTAGGGCTTTAGTCGCCGTCCGATTTAAAGAATCACGCGGCTTCACGCACTGCCTTGCAGCACTTCGGTCGAGTCGGCATACAAAGGTCTAACAGTTGGTCTCGGCCCTCTGATGCTCATGTTTTTATGGATAGATGTGTGCACAAACATACACGACATTGCAAGCATTTGCTCGGTACATCTGCAACAAAGTGGCGAATTGCGCTAGGAAAGAGCTGTGGGGTGCTGAAGGGGCGAGAACTTGAACAAAAGAGGAGTGCTGTTCCACATGGGATTGTAGCTTGTTGATGAGGCAGTAAGAGATGGCGGCACGCAGTTCCCTACTGATGGTTCTAGGTTGTTCATGATGAGTGCGAACGAAGTCTGGGAAGATTTTGTTTGCTATGCGTCTTTGTTCGAGCAACGATGAACCGTGATGAACCATCCTCCTTCCACCTGAGGTTGTCGACTCCTTGGCACAGGAGGTTGCCGATGGCAAAGGTTTGAACCAGCTCTACTCTCAGAGGTTTCAACTGGCGCTTAAACCTCGAGAAAGGTGGGCTTCATCAGAACCCTTAGACGAACCCCGAAGCCTACTTTGGTCACTAAACTCCAGATCTGGGCGAAGCGGGCCGGAAGACGTCGAAGAGATGGGAGTCCCTTTGTGTGGCTGCAGTGTCAAAGGAAAGCACTTAGGCTAGTTGTTCTTAGGGTGATCTGGGCTTCTGAAGGGCATGTGAAGCCCTGCAGTACAGAGCTGAGCACACTGGCAGAACAGTCATTGCAAAGCAGATGTCTTGAGGCGACGGCCCAAGCCCTGAAACCCTATTCGGTAAGCGCCTGCTAATAATTAACGAACATGAAGGGGTATCATGCTGATCCCTCGGTGATGGTGAGTGGTTCGCATGATGATGTTGGAGCTCCAGGCTTTCCGCGAATCTCCAGGTGAGTCCCTTGTATAGCTTGCTCATGCTACACTATGTTATGACGGCCAACGAAATCTCTCTTGACGTGGAAGTCCCTAGCGAAATCTACTTCCTGCAGGCAGGTCTGCGAAGGAGGATTTGATACAGAGTTGGGATGAAGTGCAAGAGTTGTAGTGGAGCTGTCATGAGAAGACTGCCAGAAGCTGCATGTCGTTTGCTACTTTCCTCTCCACTGTATCCTGCAATGCGGGCTTCGTCCTGGTCCTAGCTAGGTGGGAGGCAAAAAAGCCCTACCCTGAGATGGAACCCTTCGCGATTGCTGAGGCGCGAGTTTCTGATCTTCATGCGGAAATACCGAGACCAGGAGGTTGCGACCGGAGTTCTAGGGAATTACCGATGCTATTTCAAGGGTCCTTATACGAGTATAGTCAATAGTGATCCCTATTCTACTCATTCAGGCGGCAAAATAATCAGGGCACGGATGTGTATTTCGAACCGGGGTTCCGTGGCTTCCGTGTAGGACTGCAGGATCTAGCTTGCATGCGGTGACGGCTCATAAACTGAACTGGGGAGGACATGAGTTTTCGGAACTCCATGCAGCCAGCGCCGTCTGGACAGAATGCCGGGACTGTGGAGAATTTAGGAATCTAGGGTCTAGAGTCTAGAGAAGATGGAAACACCAGATGCACAGTGTGTAGTTAAGCTGGGCCGAACATGCGACCTTCCGCTCCTCCAGCACTGACATCCCATAGTCCTTCAGGCCGTTGCGTACATCAGCGCATGTTGCCAGCACATGCCTCGGAATCACATAATCTTCGGATATCCTGCGCTGTATCCTCGCAACAGTCATGGGCTCGATTCTTTTTGCAATCCCAAAGGGATTGGCCTAGTTTTCGAGTTCCGGTGTCCCTGGCAGTACCGGTATGGCATTCTACCATAGACCTGTAGAGGTGCAGGGTTTAGGTTCTAGGGTTTTATGTGAAGCTGTCGTGAATGGATCCGAAACTTGAAGACTTTCCGCGGGCACGATCTTCCAGCCATGAGACCGCGAGCAGGCAGCAGGGTGCTTCGGGCTGTTTGCTCTTTGGGTTTTCTGGTGAGTTGAGGGTGAAAGGGAGGGGCCCGGTCGTTTGGGGTTCCGTTTGCTGGGCAGGGTGCAGATACTGCAGCTTGTAGATTTGATGCGCGGGCATTTGCAAGTAGAGTCGAGCTGTTGCAGTTAGGGAACGGCAGTGGGGCTGTAATCAAATCCGGTTGAACTTCGCTTTCCGGGCATGGCCCTGCGTGTGCAATCTGATTGCATTCTTGGACATGTCACGGGTATGTACTACTGTGACAAGTGTGTGAACAAGTGAAACAACAAATATACATGCAGAATGTGTGCATATATATATATATGCTGAGACATACATACGCTCTAGTTGGTGAAGAGCCCTTTGTTTCACGTCTGTCGGCATGCAGCGGTGTGGACTGTTTTCACTGCCGTGTTGTCGGGATGTCGCGTGTCTGAATTGTCACCTGCCATGTAGTTTCGAGTGATCTCGTGCTGCCATGTGGGAGCCAAAAAACAAAAAAACATATGTATATATATATATATTATTTATTTATATTTATATTTATATTTAATCATGCACACACACACACACGCCTGCGTGTTGTGTGTGTACATTGGTTTCTGTTTCCGTCTTTGCAACAGATATCCACTGTGATTTTTTATACAGGCTCGAGAGGATGGCAGATTATGTTGTTTTCGGTGTTTGGCGTCCCTCAACTGATATACCGTAGCGATCTGAATAGCCATGTACTGCAGCACTACATTTCCCTATGTTTCCATGTAATGCTTCTGTAATATTGTATAGTATAAAGCCCCCAGTAAATTCGTACCCGCATGCAGTGTCTCTGCCTCCCCCTCTCTCTCCACTCTCCTTATCTCTCACCCACTCTCTCGATTCACGCATCAGAATGCACTTGTAGGTGCGTGTGAGAGAGGAAAGTTGTGAAAGCTGCAAGACGGATAGACAACCAATGCAGAAACAATCATGTTTATGGGAGGCTTATCTCGATCCAACCTATGTTCCCTTCTCCGGTCAAGTCTGTGACAGAGGCGAGAATCGGAAGCTTTCCGGCAAAGTGGTGCATGTCAGCCCTGACGGCCTGTGGGCTGCAGCCAGCACTTTTTATGGGATTTCGGGAAGTTCCTCCAACGTCCAGCATCTTCTTGGGTCCTCGCCTGTTTTGGGTATTCAGCTCAATGGCCTCGGCGGGTGTGGGCAGCCAAGGTCGGTACGGCTACATTCAGGCCAAGGACCACAGAAGGCCAAATGATGATGTTCATTTCCGGATGGACGTGGTGAGGGACTCTGGCGGCTTGAGCCTGGCCTTCGGCGATCGTGTGGAGTTTTGGATTCAGCCGCAAGGCGAAGGCTGGCGACCTACAGCAGCAGCCGCGCCCTGGCTGGCATCGATTTGTATCTTCCACGATTTTTCTATGTCTAAGAGGATCATAACCACATGTATACCACTTCTGTATTGTTTTGGATATGGCTTTGGCTGACGCGGTCCTCGTCTTGACAGTGAGATGGATCGATAAACACCCTATTCATCTGAGTCCTCGAAAGCCGGCAGCTGCGACACGACGGTATATTAAACTGTATATTGTACAAAATGCCCCAAGCACCAAACCCATATATTTCCTGTGCTGGTTATAGTCGTCAGGTGTTTTGGTTGTTGGTATGTTGATGGTAGGCTTTTGTTCTGTCAGTTCGTTTTGGCCAATGACACTTCTTATAATGCCATGTTGTTGACATGCTCCGTGTAGGCAGCGGCTACACTACCTTGTAACGGTCATCTGCAACTTATGTATCCTGAGTTTCCCTGAGCTTGTGTACTGCTTCTTTGATGCTCCCGGCAGATGCTACATCTGGACGGAAATTTGGGCCTGGACTGTTGCACTGTGCTTCGTACTTGAGCTTAGTATACATACACACGTCTGTGTGTGTAGATGTTTTTGCGTATTCGAAGGTAACATTACATGCCTTAACTTCTCATCGGTGGGGATGTCTAGCTTCTCTTACATGCATGGGTGAGTTAGTACTTACATGTTGGCTTGCTTATGTGAGTCAGGGGATCACCCGATAAGATTGGAACAGAGAAGTTTTGAATGGCTCCTGCGCTAGGATGACACGCGCAAATCGAGAAGTGAACCCAAGCTGACGCAAAATGCGTGTGTGAGCTTTTGGGTTATTCTTGAAGCATCACATCTTCTTGAGTACAAGCTTCGGCATATGAGTTCACTTGCCGTTGCTTCTATCCACCGCTGTGTGCTGCCAGCAGTGCATGTACACATCTCGAAGGAAGTGTGAATCAGTATGAGGACAGGTGCATATAGATGTGGATCGTTAGAAGAGAGTGCTTTGCGTTTGCTGCCAGCATGTTACGTCATGATGGTTCCTATGAGTGTATGGGTTTATTGCACAGTGTATCGATAAGCTGGTTTGTATATTTCCCCGACAAACTACTTCCATTTGGCTTTGTATGCTTCCGTGTTTTACGTAGTCAAAACAATCGTTGGTTGCGTGAGGCCGTCCTCACTCAGTGCTTTCATGGTAGATATGCAAGCCTTGCATGCCTGCCAGTACGACTCTTTCATGACTCGCCTCTGGGGCAGCCGCAAGATGATCGCCAAAAGTATTGCATGCAAACATAACGTTTCTTCTTGTTGATGCGCCCTATGCCCTATGTATTCCGCACTGTAAGTGTCGTTGCTCGAACTCAGGCTGCATAGAAGCACAGAGTATGAAGTTATGTTTGTCAGCATTGGGCATCCTTACGAAATGGTCAAATGCCAAATCCACCCTTGACTTGAAGCTCAGCCTTAACTGCTCATCCGGAGTGATCTTGGGTTTTGGGGTATTAGGGTCAACGCGCTTTCCCCGCATTTAGGAGTTTAATCGTTTGTATTATTGTGCGCGAACGATCCCAAACACTTAACCCCACAGCAGGGGAACCTCTAGAGGTGCATTTGGTCTCCCTGGCGCCCGATACGGACCGGCGGAAGAAAGCGTTGGCCCAGATGGAGCAGTGGAGGCTGGCAATACAGCAGCTTGAAAAAGTCGTATGCATCCCAAGATGTTGCGGTCATTGAGGGGCTTCCTCACACAGACGTTGTGCTGGTGCAGTGGAACTTTTGAAAGTAACTATTGTTCACCTGTTGTCCTGCTTTGCAACCCGTCCTTATCGTCTTTTGCTACGTCTTCTTCTATTATTCCCCACCCCCGGTGGGGGGTTCTTAGATATTAAAGTCAGCTATTACTCCCACCCGCTCCTCGTCTGCTCCTCGCTCGCTGAGACTACCCCCAGAGACTGCCTGGAGTGCCCACCCCCAGAGACCACCGTGAGACTCCTGGAGTGCCCAACCCCAGAGACCACCGTGAGTGGAGCGCCCTGGAATGCCCAACCCCAAAGACTACTGTGAGACTCTCTGGAGTGCCCAACCCGTGGACCCCAGGGCCGGTCAGCGGTGTGCCCCCATGGATCGTCGACTGACCTGAATCGAATACATGTTTACGGGGAACCCACGTCAGCAACGCCAGACGGTGGTGTGACCCATCCATGGGGTCGTCGAGTGACCTGAATCGAACACTCGTGTTTCGTTGCGTGTACGGGGACCCCACGACCGTAACACCAGTCAGTGGTGTGACCCCATGGATCGTGGACTGGCCTGAATCGAGCACTCGTGTGTTGTTATGTGTACCCGGGACCCCACGACCGTAACGCCAGTCAGTGGTGTGACCCCATGGATCGTCGAATGAACTGCCTGAATCGAACACTCGTGTTTTGCTACGAGTTCGGGGACCCCACGTCCGTAACGCCGGTCACTGGTGTGACCCCACGGATCGCCGATCGACCTGAATCGAACACTCGTGTTTTGTTCCGTGTTCGGGGGCCCCACGCGCGTAACGCCAGTCAGTGGTGTGACCCCATGGATCGTAGACTGAAATGAATCGAAAACAAGAGCGCATACACGCCTCCCCATGCTTCTGCACATAGGCGTGTTTGTGTTGGCTCAAACCCTCCCTCCCAACCCGGCCTCCGGCCCCCTGGTTTCTGGGGTTGCGGCTTGGGGGTGGTTTTCTTTCAGGGTTTTGTCAGGATGGTTTAGGACATATTTGCCGTCCCCATATTTACGGGAAACCCGGCTTGGGGGCGACTTCAACGTAGTGTTAAGTACCACTACCACTACTTGCATTACTTCTAATTTACAGTTTGCTGTACAGTAGTTTCTCTAAGCCTCGCAAATGCATTATCTGAAGGGTGGGGATGTTAAAATTCACATATCGTTATTATCATGTAATAAGAAGCTTGGTGGGACTGTCATCGCCAGGCAACAGATCTGCATGCAAAGCCCGTCGGCGCAGGATGCCAAATTCCAGGCCCTTTGTGCCCATGAGCCATCCAATGACGGTTTGAAGGGTTTAGGGTTAAGGGCTCAGTTTGTTGATTTTCCGCAGGTGACTGGTAGCTAAGAAGACCTTCATACGAAGGTTGTAGAAACTACAGCTCCCAACTTGGACCCCCACCAAACCCAAACACCCAAGATCACATGACCAAAGATCCAGTGTTCTACAACACAGTACGAAACCCGCAGTACTAAGCCGCTTTGGAGATCAATCATTTCTGAGCTTTTGAGTAACACTATTCCTTTAGAGTCCTACATAACAAGTTATAGTATAGTATACAGTATACTCCAACCCTGTCCTCATTGTTGAGGCCCCTATATTGAAGCCGAAAGCAAACGCAGCAGGCTCGAACCGGCAGGGCCGTATGGCAAGCAGTCCTCGTTGCTCAGCTAGCTTGCACCAGCAACAGTTTTGGTTTATTGCTTGGGGATTACAAGGTTTAAGGCTTAGCTTAGGCTTTGGGGCTGATTCGGTTTAGGGTTTAGTTCAAGCTTCGGGGTTGCATGTGGCACTGGTTTTCTTCACTTCGGACTTCTGAAATACTCAAGCTCAGTTTCTTGATGCTTTGTGTTTTCAAAAAACAACAAAGGCCTAGGGTTTAGGGTTCCCCTAAAGGGTACGATAAGGGTTCCTTTGAAGGGACCTATAGGTGTTTAGGAGTTTGGGGGTTTTCGGGTTTTCGAAGAAAAAGCTTATCCCTAACCTACACAGTGCGGTCTTTGTACCAAGTCTTCCTCGCCTGTGGGCATAGATCTTTAGCCATGCGAGAGGGAAAAAAACTTCAAAACCCTAAACCCTAAACCCCTACCCTGCAATGCGGGCTCGTCCTGGCTATGTGGGAGGGAAAAAAAACCCCTAAACCCTAAACCCCTAAACCCTTAAACCCTAAAAGGGTTTCGCAGGAACTCCTCGAGCCCACCATGCGCAACGAGACTTGGCAAACGGAAGTTCGAGGGCCCAGCTCTGTGCCGCCCTCTCAAGCGAGTGCCGAGGCTTGTGCGGTTTAGGATTTAGGTCCAGGTTTTAGGGTTTATGTAAAGTAGCCCGAAACCCTCAGATCAAAAATTGAAATAACTAACTCCCTAGCATCCGTCAAAACTCTCGACTAGAAAGGGCTGATGTCAACGTTGCAGGGCTTGGAAGCCCGGCTGTGTCTAGACGCTGATACCCGCATCGCTGCCTCGTATAAACTGTTTTTGGAATTGACGGCTGCGTTGTAAACCTTTTTGATTATGCACTTGTTCCCTTCAGGTTGAGGGGATTGCCACGGACTTATGTGTGTCCACCGTCGTGTTTCATGTCTGAAGCTAAGAATGGAAGTGCAGGCTAGGCATTCAGCTGCTGCAATTAACCTTTGCTGTCCTTCGTGCAATGATCAGTACGGTATTGACGTCAAATTTAGAGATGAACTGTTCCTAACTCGAGCTGCGCACCAGACAACTAGTAGTTGACTCACTCGTAATGCTGGGTAATCCGCGGCGACGTTAAATTCATTCGTGTTCCAGTCAGTCATATTGAAACTGATGCTAGCACTTACAGTAGCCATGGAGTTTTTGTTTGCTGGACTATACCTCATGGCATGTCGTGAAGAACAGGCGTAACAGGCGTGATCATCGCCCGTTTCGGCAGTGACGATCTCTTATGTTAACGGATGACGAAGATTCCTAGACGTTGGTTGGTATGCAGCTGGCAGAGGACATGAATAGGACTAGGATATGGGGAGGCCAGAAAGCAGATATTGCTTCATCTTGTTGCTGCAATGAAAACTGACCCGCACCTTTGAATGCGGCATTTTAAATTTTGTCCAGTTTGCAGGCTGCCAGCCCAAGTACCTGTCGCCACGCTTTCTGTGCCGAGCGCCACTATGCGGAGAAGGTCTACTTGCAAAATCGGGCCTTGCGCCATGATTCCGTGGAGCAATCATCGATGAGTGCGGACGAGGCGAGCACGCCAGTCTGGTGTCTTCCAGGGGAAGTGTTTTCATAACAGTGTTCCACTTGCTGGCGCGGAGCTTGTTTGAGAGTTGGTGCGATATTGCTAGCAGATCGATCGGTTCTGTTGCTTGACATCCTTCGACATCCTCCAGCTTTGGAGATGCACTGTACGTCCCGGACACATGGCCATGTGCCCCAGCCTTGACCCACTGCCGGCTTACCAAGGTCAAATTCACCCACGCGGAGATCAGCGATCAGTTCGGGGATGGGCGACCTTTGGAAACCCTTCTTGCAGACCTCAGGCGAGGCAAGATCTTGCCTTCGGATGACAGGATGCAGCTGGAGGCATGCCTTCTGAAAGACAAGTACCGGTCTCTGAACAATCGGCGTCTTCGAGTACTTAAAATATTCCACATGGAGCAGAAACGGATGGATCCGAAATGCGATGTTCAAGTGCGTGTCCAGTTGCGTCCGCTTTGCAAGAGCACAGCACAGTTTATACAGAACTTATGCAAGTCAGACGACCGTTCGAAGCAGACCTCACCCGTGCACCCCGATGCACAGCAAGCCAAGCAGACCCTGCTGGACATCGAGAATGCCAGTGTGCAAAATCGAAAGAATGCTTTTGTGACCAAGTGGGCGCTCTCAAGCCTGGGAAAGGAACAGGAAGTCCTTGTCTCAGCCTTGACTTACATTGGTGCGCCGGCTCGTCAACGCAATGGGCTGATGAATAAAGTCACCAGGGACAAGCGGAGAAGGATGGATGACGCCATGACGAACATGATCGACCTTAAAACGGAGCGAGCCATCAATGGCATTGGAGGGGAAGTAGAAGTGGTGGAGTTTGAAGAGAAGCTGTACCTGCTGGACAAAGAGCTGTGTAAGGCTTTGCGGGACAAGCAGGACCGCCAGAGGGAGGATATCAAGATCAAAATCCGCATCATACCGCTGTGTCCCTGGACCGCGAAGATGGTCCTCGCGAACAGCAGCCTGAACGATGGAGAGGATGTGCAGTCAAAAGGCTCTGAGTCTGAATGGCCCCTGTGTCGCCTTGTGTACCTTCTGCTGGACTTGGCCAACAGCTTGGCTCAAGAGCCGAACTTTTCCTCGACCTTCGACTTAATTTCTGTGTCGCCCCTTCTTGGGCAGGGTGCCCTGATATCAGCACTAAAAGAGGAAGAGCATGGATCACGAATGTGGGAGGCTGCAGCTTTGCTCCTGGTCAACCTCTTCAAGCTGGCGCCAACTGGCTCAAAAGCCGCAACTTGGGCGAGCAGCAGGTGAGGTTTTGCCACGTGATTTTTGTACTGTAGCTACATGAGTGTGGCTGACCTTTCTGACGCCCAACATATGGTATCCAAGGCAATGCCGGTTTGCGCTTACATGCAGGATGTCACAGACGAGCGAAGAGATTTGGAGGAAAGCAATTGCCAGAGCAGGAGGTGGCTGAACCTGCTTTCCTTCAGTACACGTGCAATCGTTGGCCGGCCGTCTGATGCTTACGAAGCTTGCTGGGACATGTTGTCACTTGTACCCACGGTGCACGAGATCCAGCGTGACGCAGATCAGTGTAGCCGACGGCGGCATAAGACAGAGCTGCCCACAGTGCGGGAACGCGGCTGCTACAACTCAGAGCAGCATTATTTGGATACCTATTTCCGGCTGCTTCGCGAGGACAACTGGGAAACAAGACAAGAACGCTGCACATGCTGTGATCACTACGTAATAAACCGAGAGTTTTAGGCCGAATCGCTTTGCCGTTTCGCTTTGCGAGGAGTGCCTGGCTGCCATTCGCACCACATTGTATCATGTCAGCCACGGGAATATGGAGGCAGAAGAAATTCGCCGAGATGGAAACGTCTTCGATGCTTCCCTGATGGGCTTTAATGCCACTGAGCTGCGGTTGGAACTGGGTTCTTGTGTTGCTGCTTCATCTGCAACACGCCAACGAAGTTCCGGCACAGCATTCGTAGGGCGTAGCGGGCGTAGCGATTCCAGCAGCAGTCGAGGTTTCGCGCGGCCAGGGAGGCAGGATCCGGACAAGACTCTGCTCATCTCTGCACTAAGAAGACTGTAAAATGCATAGCATGCTAGGATATGCTAGCTGCTAGACGTTCCTCCCTCTACATTTATCGTGAGCCATGTTGTCCATGTCCCATCTATAAACCAAGAAGTCTGCATTCGCAAGCTTGAAGTGGTTTGTCCGCGATTTCCGCCACTCTGCGAGGTGTGCTTGACAGCCGCATCAAGGTAGTGTTCCGCGTACGGCCCAAGGGCACATGGGAGAGATGGCGGTCGAAAATGGACAGGTCATTCAAGTTCGGTAACTTGGTAGCATGCATTTGCGACAATGACGTGAATCAGCCAATTTGGATGCTGGTCGCCTGCCGTGATGTAGACGAGCGCACTGTGGCTTTGGGTCTTTACAGCGCTGGGGAGCACGACACGGCCCGACTGGCACAAATGTGGGATGCAGGGCAGATGATGCTGATTGCATCCACTACATACTTCCGATCGCTGGAGCCTGTTCTGCGCCGGCTGCAAGACGCACAGCAGGTGGGTTTTGCCTTCAAGGAGGAGCTGGTGCATTGTCAGACCACCCCAAGGCGACCCTCAAACGTCCATGCTGCCGATCCAGTTGACTGGAAGTTGTTTTTCAGCGGCCCGCGGCTTGGAGTAGCACTGGTCGGTTCGTAGTTCGTAGCTCTTGTGGTGCTGTATACCATGTATTCAGTAGTGAGTTAGTACTAAGTACCTTGTACTAATGCGCAGCATAAGAGGTTCGAGATGAGCTCGAACTGATTGAATGCGCTTTGGTGGAGTCCCAGCTTGCGTGCTGCCTGAGGAGACCCGATGTCAAGGATGATAGCAAGTTTCTAGTGGTTGGCCCGGAGCTTTCTGGGCAGCCAGTGCATTTCAGGGGGACCACTGTTGAGTCTCCCGATGGAGAGGCGATTTTCAAGGCGGGGAGAATGTGTTTAATGCACAGGGCTGGTGTGGTGCGTGGTTGATGGGTTGCAGGTTTCCGGACGGACTTAGACACGGTAGATAAAGAACTCTAGTGAGATGCACCACTCCCAGATCCCAACACGACCTCCGAAAGCTGAAGCAGTCTACAAGTCCCCATATCTCTCGCCGTATGCAGACAAACGACAGCCCTCTATGTGCAAACGGCAAACACACGGCCAGGTTATCCTCACAAAGCACGGGGGTGAGTACGGTTTCCGGCTGCTCAACTTGGCTGGTCAGATCTTCATCCAGCTTCCGGGAACCAAGCAAGGCATTCCGAGCCAGTTTGGGTGTAGGATTTAGGGCTCCTTTGGTTGCAGAGGGTGTTCTGACCGCTAGGACCTTTAGGGTCGCTTTGGTGTGAGATTTGAGTGACGTGTGTTCCGATAATGCAGGTGATGTCTTGCCTATGAATGAGCTAGAGAGTGTGGGGCTTCCCGGCGTAGGCAGTTTTAGTTCCTGGAAGAGTCCTGGAGAAAGCACAGGATGGGTCCAGGGAGTTGTTGGATTCGGGTTTCGGCTGCAGATTTACTGTTCAAGGGCTTCTATATGGTGTTATGGCATTATGGCATAATAACCCGAATGGGCGGCACTGCGGTGCTCTGGATAGGTGAAGCAATAAGAGAAAGTTCAGTCGCCCCAGGCATAAACAGTGAAGATTCCGTGTCTAGGCTTGATGATGAGTTGACCGTGTTTCCCGGTGTGTTTGGCCTCGTTTTGCGGATCTGCGAGAATGCTTCTTGGGTCAACCAAGGGTTTCACCACCTCAGTCGAGTCGGACCTCGAGCTTCCTTTTGGGGATTCCCGGGCCACCAACATCCCGACGCCCCTTGCAGATCAAACCGAAGCCGAAGCACCCTTGATCTGGGAACTAGCCGCCAGGACTTTGGGGGCAGCTTGGGTTGCTTGAGTAGAAACAACGTAGTCTGGCTACCCACGTAGCAGGCTACCGTGCCTATACTATACATAACCCTGGTCTGGTAAGACCCACAATGTAGCTGGCTGTTACATTCGGGTCTAGGACTCTGAGCTACGAGGCCGCATTGTGGGCGTAAAGGAGGACGTGGAGGTCGAGATCGGAACAGACATAGCACGAGACTCAGCCTTCAGTGTAGCGATAGGGTGCTTTGAATTGGCTACGTCCCGGTCGTGCTTGGGAAGAACACTGTGCAAGAAGAGATCTGCTTGCATGCCTGCAGGGTGTGACCATGCTTGATCCTGGTGTCATATCCTTTCAGCCTTTTCCGTCAAAAGTGAGAATGAACCATTTGTGAGTTGTGTCATTTCGAGAGTGGCAATTTGCGACAGTGCCCGGTCAGAAGTTGAAAATCGAATCGGTGACATGCCGTTTGGAGTGCCCTGTGTCCTTGCCTAGCGGCTTGCGTGCTGGGAGGTTTACGGCGTGGCTGTGTGTTCGCTTGGTTTCAGGATCATGGTGGAACGAACCCGAGACTCCCCACGTCGAAACGGATGAACAGAGCAGTAGCCCCCCCAATTCGGAATCGCCGAATCGAAGTCCATGCCCAAGAAGTCCTTCGACGCGTGGAGACGAACCTCTGACACTTTTTGAGCCCGAGGCTCAAAACCGTGGGCCCCGGCTCACGACACCCGAAACTGACAGGATTCCCGGATCACTCGACTCAGTCCACAAGCAGCAGGACCTGCCATGCCCTGAAGGAACACAGAAGCCCAGAGATCCCGGTCCCACCTTAGGGAGGACTAAAATAGGATCCATAGGTGCCTGTAGGCTGATAGGCTGACTAGTGAAGAGAATTTTTTGTGGTTCTCTAAGGCCGTCTACAGAATCCCTTGATCGCATCCTGAAGGTGGCCTTCACCCATCGCGACCCGGACAGGGAGCTACGCTTCGCGGTGGTGGAAGCCAGCGAGGGCCTCGTTGCCTAGAACTTAGGGGCTTGAAGTTTGAAGGATTGAGCGATGTATGTGTGTAATTCATATATATACACACACATATATATATATACATGTGTATATATATATATATATGTATACATATATACACATATGTATATATATATATACACAGACATACATACACATACATACATACATACATACATACATACATGGTACCCCTTCGGAATCCGCACCTTTAGTCTACGTATGTCTAGTATGTCAGTATAGTCCTGGTCTCTGCGCATGATGCAGAGGACAGACGTACATCCGGAACGAGCGCGCGCAATCAATTCAACAAGACGAGTCACGAAATTCCTCGGGACAGTCTCCAAAAAAACAAAAATACCAAAACTCATAGGCCACGAAATGGGCATATTCATCGAGACAGTCCCCCAAAAAACACTAAAACAAAGATTCCGCAACCTCTCCGAAATCGGATGTGAGCATATTTTTCGAGACAGTCCCAGAAAAAGCTCAAACACCAAAACCCATAGGCCACGAAGTGAGCATATTCCTCGAGACAGTCCCCAAAAAGCAAAGATTCCGGAGACAGTCTAAAACAAAAGTAACAAAATCCATTAGCCACGAAATGGACCTATTCGTCGAGACAGTCTCAAAAAACCCAAAGAAAAACAACGATTCCGGAACCTCTCCGAAATCGAAAATGAGCATATTTCTCGAGACAGTCCCAGTAAAAAGCAAAATAAACAAAACCCCCAGACAGTCCCAAGAGAAAGAGAAACAAACCAAAGATTCCAAACCATTGGAGCTGTCTCGAGAAATGGCGTTTGGAATAGCTCTGAATCTTTGTTTTTGTTGGTATTGTTGTGCTCTTTTCGTGGCCGATAGGTTTTGGTCGTTTTGGGACTGTCTCGAAGAATATGCTCATTGCTGGCTCAGGCGCTTCGGTATTTTTGGGGGGCTGTGTCGAGAAATGGATATCTCTGAGTCTTTGGATTTTGCGTTTTCTTCGGGACTGCCTCGAGAAATGTGCTTATTTCCTGGCCTATGGGACTTGGTAGTTTTGTTGTTTCTCCGAAAGAATGCGATGTACGTAAGCACAACTCAAATCGAATCACGTGCACAGTATCCGACTGTATGTGGCCATGAAAGGCCAATCTTTAGCTGCACCTGGAAAGACTCTAGACCTTGTAAACACCAGCTCTGTTCGTTCTCCGGCGCTCTGCAAACATATGTGTCCATTCATGTCTGAGCTCCTGTCAGATCAATCTTCATCTCGCAAGTATAACGGACATGTATAACCTACTTGGCTAATCGCTAGTAGTCTAAGCTTCATATGGTAATCAGAACCAACTTCGAACTTGATACTCTTTAGTACTACTTGACAGATATGTGTGGAGCATCTACTGGAAATTTTTGTCAATTACGCTTTTGGTGTCTCACAAAGTATTAATGTAATTCTCCGATACTTTAGTATATCTATTTTTGATTCCCATTTTACGGCGTACTCGTTTAACGCGTGAGTGTAGCACAAACTGAATCAACTTTAGACTTTCCTCACAATAAGCGAATTTTCGTGAATGTCCGATCACAAGAACATGCTGACATGCTAATGCAATATCGCTGATTGTTAACTTAAGCACGCAGCTCAAGTTAACCAGTTTTGACTGCGCAATTGGCAAAATTTCGATTTCATCTCATGAACGTCTCACTAGTATGTACATGATGCGCATTAACCAGGCTATGTACATGGCATTTTAAGACTGAGTGACTGATGTACCCTTGGTTCGCAGGTTCGCATCGCACTTTAGATTTTCATGACCGAATTGAACCGCCGTTTTTATCTGAAGACACACTTAACTGGTGAATAGTTATCTATCTCGTTTGTTTCCGTGCATGGACTAGCCATTTCAGTACTAGTTAGTTTAGGTAGTAGATGTTCGTGAATATGTTCTAGTTTGTTTATTGAGCCCAAAAAAAGGGCGAACACAATGACATATTCAACACATGCTGGTCCGATATTAACTTCATATGACTGAAAACAGGAGCAATGTCATTATTGACTATTGTTTCCATCTAGATCGCATGCGTTGGTAACTCAGAATTGGAAGCTTCACACGAGTACTCGATGAGCAGTATGTAAGCATTTAAGCCAAACTAACTGCATTTCAACTGACAAAAGCAGTAACACATGGATCGCAGATACTATTTTATCTAAGCCTGTGCGGCTGAGAGGCAGTCCACCAAACAAGAGCCTAAACCTTGAATCCTAAACGGTGCGAGTCGAAACCCCAGCCGCAAAATTGAGAAGTGTACCACTAAAGCGGTGCAAGTGTGGTGCTCAATGCGTACAGCTTCAGCCGAGCCCTACAAGTACTAAGCAAGGACCCTTCCAAACAGGAAGCAAGCTAAGTCTTTGACACTTCCGAAACGGAAGCCAACTGAGCACCGTCCCTGCTGGGCGAGTGGCAAAACAAACCCGAAGCCCGAAACCGTCACCCCAATAAACCCCAAACCCTGCAATGGTAGGCGGAAGTTTGCACGAGATGCGCACTGAGCTTACCAGACTTTGCAAGGATGCCGAGGTGGGGTCGCAGCGTCTGTAAAAAAAGCATGAGTTTGGGTTTGGGGTTTTGGGGACAGAAGGCTGTTGGGCATGGATAGTATGTCTTGCTTCTTCGCTGGGGCTTTGGCAGAATATTTACTGTTATCAGTACCAGTAGTTATTAGCATAGGCATCGCGGCAAGGGTGAGGACGATGAGAGCAAAGAGACACACCGTAGCAATGCATGTATAGTAACCATGCACGTGGTGATGTGTGTTGTGTGCCACGTGAGCATGTGCCTGAACAATCTGAGGATGTGCGGAAGGCCTGTGTGCACATGTTTAGGGCTACCGTTTGCACTATGCCTCCTGATTGTTTGGCCTGCTGTTACGTGCCGTTGCATAGCGAGACCCTTGAGGATGGCACGGGAGAGGGAGAAAGAGAAATTGCATAAAGACAGCCAGCAGCAATCAGTCCTGCAAAGGGTTCATCAGTCTTGTGTCCCTGTCTGATGAGCACTTGCCAAGTTCAGTTGTCACGCTCAGTGATACTTCTTCCAATCTTTACGCAACACTACGCACGCTAGTAACGGTCAGCTCTGTGTACATGACTGATCCACACGTGATACTGGAATTGTAGGAAGCGATGTTCACACGCTGGAAGGTCTACTCGCGCACTAGCATGCAAGACATCCGGGAAAACAACACTCTGAAAGGGCCTAATTTCTTGTTGCGGCATAGTTGTGTAAGACATCGCATGTTCATTCCACCGATTCATTGCTCTCGATATCCATTGTCACCGTGTATGGCTGCAGACAGTCAGGCGCCTGTCGTTGCCGGAGTTTAGGAAACTTAGAGGGTTTATGGGGTTTAGAGCTTGGGAAATGTGACGTGGCGAATGGTGGAGGACCGTGGCGAGTCGACGTCGGCAACGACCTGCGACTCGAGCGGCTTGGCAGGTGATTTCAGGCTGTAAGAGTTTTGAATGTTTTAGCCCGGGCTCACCTTGATGACTGTGGCAGCAGATGTTTCTTGTGGCGATGCTTCCTGCAGCTGCAGGTGTGCCCGGGTCATAATTACGTAAGAGATGACATTCGAGACTGCAACACTGAAGGTGGAGGGTTTCAAAGCATCCGGGTTTCTGTCGATCTGTGAATGAGGCTTTCAAAATCGTTGCTCGTGTGCTCAGCGCGAATGATTTCCTAAGCCATCTAGCCGTGACCGACTTGCATATATATATACACACATATATATATATATGTGTGTGTGTATTACTGTATGCTGTACATGTTCATGTACATGTACAATGTCGTATATACTTCAATCTAGATGTACAGCTACTCTCATACTTGTTCTTATAATTTTACTGGCTTCTATATGTCTGTGTACGTGTATGTTCATATCTATGTGTGAAAGCATCTGCACGTGCCATGCATCGTCACAGGTTGCCGAAATTACATTACATATCGTATGCTACCGCTTCTCAGCATGTCATATCATATTCTATCTACATACTTACGCACATACGTACTTGCTTGCTTGCTTCCTTCCTTCCTTCCTTCCTTCCTTCCTTCCTTCCTTACTTACTTACTTACTTACTTACTTACTTACTTAGTTACTTACTTACTTACTTACTTACTTACTTACTTACTTATTTACTTACTTACTTACTTACTTACTTACTTACTTGCTTACTTCTTACTTACTTACATACCAACATGCTTACTTATTAACTCACTCACTTACTTACTTGCGTCAGACAGACTGAGGCAGAGACGGAGACAGAGAGAGACGGACACACAGACAGACCGGCAGACAGACAGATCTTCCGACAAGCGCACGCAAACACACACACACACACAGATATATAGATAGATAGATAGATAGATAGATAGAAATATATATATATAGATAGATAGATAGATAGATAGATATAGATATACATACATGCACATGTCTATCTACGCCGGTAGCTTTTGGGAGTATCGTTTCCGACGCCTTCCCCTGAGCCAAGGCCAGCTGCAAGCAGTGCAGCATGCTTTGAGGTGCCGGGTGTCGCTGATCCAGGGGCCTCCAGGCGGCTGAGGGCTGCCCTTGCTGTGCATTCTAAAGGTCCAAAATGGCCCAAATTCTTACGAATTCAATGTATTTTGCGGGTTCCTTGTTATGACTCTAGCACATTACTATGATTGTGAGGTCCCTACATAAATGCTCACGAACTGGAGTCCTTTTCTTTCCCTGGCCTGCAGGCACAGGGAAGACCTTCATCGGCTACAAGCTTCTGCGGATGCTGGAGGGCAAGTCGCGGATCCTGGTCCTCACATACAAAAACGATGCCCTGGACGGATTCCTCGACCTGTGCCGAAAGGCCCCGCGATTATTGAGCCCAAAGTTCCACAAGCCTTTGTCCTGTCGCGTGCACATGTATGTAGGCCCAAAATCTCTGGTCCTGCGAGCTTGGGTCGTCCGCACATGTCTTCATGCAGTTACCCGGCTTGTATGTGAGCAGTCTTGTAGCACGGGACCTGCTCGGCCTAAAACCTAAAGTGCAGCGGATTACATTGCGCTATGAACCCGAACATCCCAAAAGCTAAAAAGCCGTGCTTTAGCCTGTGTATCTGCACTGACACAAGCCGTTTGAACCCAGTCAGAGTCGAAACCCTATAAGCCACACAAACTAACCCCTTAAGCTGCACCCGCCTCTCTTCTTTGACAGGACCTTGGGGAGCATCAGATAGCGCGCATCGGCCGGAATGGCAATCTGCGGAGCGGCTGGGGAGGGGACAAAGGGCTCCTTGAAGGCTTGTCTAAAGGGGTTACTGCAAGGCAGGTTCTATGATAGACTTAGTCAAGTTTTAGAATAGGGTTTTGGGGGAGCTCCGAGGTCTCTGAACACCAGAAACCCCAAAAGCTCAAGGTTTGATGGGTTCGAGACGGTGCAAAGTTGAGAGGAAGGCTTGCATAGAGATCCTGCAACATTGTACGTAGACTATACATCCTTCTCGCGGTACAGATTCTGTAGGAAGCGTTTTCGGCAAGGCCCGACGGATGCACGCACTCAGTTTGGGTGCAGACTCCGGCCAGCAACCCCGAGCCTAGTTTGAATTGTGCTGTGCTGTGCCCAGCAGAACATACTCCCCCCCCATCTTTTTTGAACGTCTTTCGTCGCAAAATCCTGAATCCCGAAGCTGGACTCGTGATCCGTCCTGTCCCGAGCTTGGCCAGGAGCCTGGTGAATCGGCAGAGACCTAAACGGGGATCTGGTGCATGCTGCTCCGCCGCTTTGATGCCCTGGCATTGGGAACTTCTCTCCGGAGGGCTGCTCGGATTCAGTGCTTCAGGGCACCAGAGGGTTTTGTCAGCTAGGCGGCGAATGACTTCCAAAAGGCTTGCTGAAGGTCTCAGTTACCCAAAACAGACGTGAATCTTCCTGCCGGCCTTGTTGTTGCTAGGTTGACTCTGCGCAGCGCAAGGTGCAAAAGGTGCCGCGGTTGCAGACAAGTTGCAGACTCGCCGAACCCGCCTCAATTCTCAAGTCTTTACAATTTAGTTATAAGATAAGCATATATATATATATATGTAAGTCTTTACACTTTAGTTGTAAGATAAGCATATATATATATAGCTTCAACTAAACACATTTTCCATATATATATATACACATATGCATAGGTATACGGATGTATAAGAAGCTTTGTCACTTTGATCGAACACACATGGACCTTGGTAGCGCGGGGCGCTCCGAGGCAATGGAACGATTTCGCGAGCGCGGTCAACACACGGCTTCTTGTGCCAGGATGGAGAGGTTAAGTTGAGGATGGCGTTGGGATCACGAACAAGCCCAAAACGCTGGGTACATGGTCCTGCTGAAAACCCTGCCTCAGGGTACTCTTTACAGTACCTACAATGAGGAACAGGAATGTATAATACATATAACAGCAACTCGAAGTAGAAGCGTGAATCATGATCAGCAATGTCCCCTAATCGTCCTTCTATAACTATGTTAACAAAGACTTAGTCTAACTATTCAGGCACATTTACATCGCTTGAACCCTGAGGTTTAGGATTCTTAATATCAGTACTTGGAGCTAGCATGAGTATCAACAACAAGAGGTAGCACGAGTTCCTACCTTCCTACCGGTATTCCTTGCGTTTACTACTTAGTCTTAATTCGTGTTGATCTCGCCTAGGGTTGTTGGTTTGTTCGAGCGGTTTATGGGGTTTCCGCGGGGTTTGCGCTTGCACTGGGAGTTAGAGTGTAAAGGATGTTGAAGCATTCCGGTTGTTTTTGTCACAGTTTTCGGGCCATTTTGGGGCGTCTTGTTTGGGGCGTTTAGGAACGAGGCCCCTCAAGCCTCTACTTATAAGTTGTATGAACAGAAAGGAGAAATTCAGCCCAAGAAGCTCAGGTCAGATTCAAAACACATGATGGAGGGAGCCCCTGAACTGGCGAAATAGCCCCGGCCGCCGCAAATGATCGAGGATCTCCCAACTAAGCGGTTGCAGGGAGCCACAATATATTCTCCATCTGAAAGCCGTCAGCCCGGACCACCGGTAGGACCCGTAAAGAAGCTCCTATATATATATATACATATATACATACATACATATATATATATATGTGGCAGGAACCTTTACGTATAATGTGACGTGTCTCTTGTGGTATATATCAGGAAGGGTTTACGTGATAACATACAGTACCCACTCACGCACACACACACACAACACACTTATGC